AGAGAGAGAGAGAGAGAGAGAGAGGGAGAGAATGTGTGCGAGAGTTAGAGGTAGAGGATGAAAGACTGAGCGCGTGTATTCCTTTTTCGACGAAATATTGGAAGACCGACCAACGCGATATCATTGTTTAAATTATTGTTATCCGATCATGAAAGGAACGAGAGAATTCGTAAATCGGTACGCACATACACAAAACAGCGCGCACACGAACACACTGACTTCGCGCCCACGTTTCCCTCCTCCTGTTCCAGTGTTTGCTACTACTACTACTATTACTACTACTACTATTACTACTACTACACACACACAGACACCGTAGAGACACACCGAGAAGAATCGCCGCACGTGTCTGTAACGCTATGTACTACCACGACTCCTCACGGGAATGAAAACGAAGAACAAATCATATATAAACGACGCACAGGAAACGGTGAAACTACGCGTATAATAAGAGAGTAATAAGATTTAAGACGAAGTACGATCGTTGCTCGATCTTGTCCCATAAGTAGCTACGGAAACATGTATGTACATATATATTTTGAAAAGGAACAGAAAACAAAAAACAAGAAAAAGAAACAAAGAGAGAGAGAGAGAGAAAGAGAGTGGAAGGAGAAGAAACGGAGAACACAGAGAAATTCCTCCCCCCTCCCCGACGATAGTTATATATACTTATATTATATACGAGAGATACCGGCATAAAATACGTTATATGCGTGCTGGCGTATATACGTGTATACATATGTATGGAGATAAATATGTATGTATGTGTGCGTGCGCGTGTGTTACGAACGCTACGTTAGCGTGCGTATATTTTTTTTCTCAAGAGAAAGAGAGAGAGAATGCCTAGGTGGATGCGTGCGTGCAAGCGTGTCACTAATTGTGCAGGTCACTGTATGGAGTACACAATTGATAATAAATTATAAACACGTGTTTACAAAAAAAAAAATGAAGAAAACGTGGAAACGGAAGTTTGCGTTCTCGTTTGATTCACCTGTCCCATCGTACAAGCGGAAAGAAGGTCTAATTAACCCGGCAGTACGCGCGCGAATTTGTGCCACGGATGTATCCGTGTGGGGTGCTCATGCACCCCTAGGAAGAAGCGACATTTATTGATAATAATACACGAATATATATATTTTGTGTCACTTGCTTAAAATTAGTATCATTATTTCCTATCGACTTGGAGCATTTAACAATTAAAACCCCCCTGTAGAATTATGAGCAAATTTGTTGACGCGACATCAGGGGTAACTTATTTGGTTGTATTAGATCATTGTACATTTTAGTATAATCATTCTTGTGCGATCGTCACTGAATTTGCAATATATTAGATTTATTTTATGGAATCTATTTGTTAGGTTTTAGGGGTTAGACCTTTTTATTTAAAAATTAAACTGACATTCGTATTGCTCCTTAGTCGAAAAAATATTTACGATTTACAACTCGGGACGAAAAGATGGCCCACTTTAAAATTAACGTAACGCTTTCATTTATTTAACATTACAACCAAGGTTTTTTTTTATTTTTACATGAACTTGCAAGATACACTAAAGATACTAAACAATTTCATTTGAGAAAAAGAGAATTTTTATGGAAATATAGTGGAACGAAATGATAGGACATTTAACCAACAGTTATATACTGCAACAAATAAACGAATGACAATATTTCTCTCAATATTTCTTCCATTTCTCTGAACGGTTCTCACTTCAGCTCCTCCTCGAATTTCCTAATCATCAAGTTTTACAAAATTTCGATATCCTTCTTTCCGAGGCGTCGCCTCAAGTTCAGTCAAACGGCTTTCATACGTTTCATTCAGGCACACGCGACACATTCAGCGGTCGCCTAAGAGAGTTAAACGCCGCGAAATCGTGTGCCCGGCGAACGCGTCGACGCGAGTACCGGCGTCGAAACGGCGTCTTCGCCGATTAAACGCTTTCAAAAACCCTCGTCGCCGTCCTCGAATCGTTTTAATTATCGCCGGTTATGCCGTCCCGATCCGTACGCTCGTCGTTAATGCTTTAACGATAATGTTTCAAGTGCACGCGCGCGCGCTCGCGAGAGACGGTTGTTTTAATAGGAAGCGCGTAGCCGCGAGCAATTCATCGGGAAACGCGGGCGAGCATCCGCGATTTCCGATTTACCCGATTCACGGTGTGCGCCCGAGCGAGTCCCGTTTATTGACATTGATATTCGTCGAATCGTAATACCAATCGGTCCGGCATATCGCGGAACGCATCGACCTATTGACACGGTGGTCCCATTAATGTAAATCGGACCATTATAGCGCTCGCCGCAGCTGCATCGAATAGCCGGTGCCGAGCTATTGTTCCGCGCGGCTATTATTCTTTCACAGTGTACACACGTCCATATTTTGTTACCACGACGGCAATTAACACTTCGCGGAGAACATTGTGTGCTACGCGCGCGTATAATCTTCCGCGTACGAGAGCGATTTTTTTTCCGTCCCCGACAAATAGAGATCACTTTTGTTCCCAATAGCCGGCTGATAAAAGCGTCGATATCGTTGTTTTCGTGGGCCGACCTGTTGATTAGATCGACTCTTATCGATGCGCGCATCTCATCCCCGCGATATTCCCGTCGATTTTTCGGCCCAATTTCGCGCCGCTCGGACGGTCCTCCGTTGTGCGATCCGCGCGTTACAAAACCGCGCGCTTCTCCGCTCCGCGCGCAATAATCCCAGTTATCCGCGTGACGCGTTTCCGTTCGTGCCGCGGCGGAGGATCGTTTTATGCACGCCTGTAATTATTATACTCGCGCGAGCCTCGGGGGGAAGGGTGTAGATGTTACCCGGTGAACGGACTCGAATGCGAACGCCGCTCCGAATGGAATCGGAGCCGAGTAATTTTCCCGAGGAAGTCGCGAGAGTCTTGAAATCTCCTTGGAGACGTTTGTTCCGTTCGATGGGTATCCATGGCCGCGTCTAGTTCCTCCTGTAATTGAACGCTCTCCGGCTCTCGCGTTTCCAACGGGCGCGCACGGCAAATTACATCGCGCATAGAGAGAGAGAGAGAGAGAGAGAGAGAGAGAGAGAGAGAGAGAGATCTGCGCTCCTAACAAGACGTTTCCGGGAGATCAAAGGATGCCGGTCGGTAGCCGGTCGGCTCTGAAAATCGGCGTCGGAAAGAGAAAAGTGGAACCGTTTGACCGTCAAATGCGCAACTCTTTTGCGGAGCGGCGCGAACCGTGCTACGCGATTGATTAATAAACGACTCGGTTAAACAAAAGAACCCCGCTGGGCGGCTGGGTCGGTGGTCGTTAGCCCGGCTCGGTTGGTCGCGTGCGACTAACTACGGCCGGACGCCATTGTCGCCGGCGAGGAAGGGGGGTGGGTGCCCCGTGGGTGCCTCACGGCTCGATAGTTTCGAGCGAGATAAAATCGGACGCGCCGATCGTTTCTTTGCGGTGCCACCCTCGGGTGCCCGCGCCTCGTCGCGATCCCAGAAGAAGGTTCGCCGGGGTCGAAGAACGGCCCGCGGGACCAGAGAGGGAAGCGGCCCTTGGTCGCCGCGCGCGCGGAACAACCTGCTGGATCTTCGCCGGCCGGATCCTTATCCGGCCCGTAGATCTCTTCGGGCCGAAGTCCGGAAGGCGTTCGGCCCGTTCCCCGAGATCGGATCTGCGTTCGCCGGACGGAGATATCCGCGTATCGACCGGCGAAACTACCGGTGCACCGTGCACCGCGTATCGTTCGATTTCCCCGTGTCAACCGTTCCCTCGGCGATTCAGCCTCGGCTCTTTCGTGCCCGTTCGCGGAAATCGCGGACCTAAACTGCCGCTCGCTTGCCGGAAACGCGGCCCAGGTCGTAAACTATTCGCGAAACGGTAAAAGACAACCAGGGGATCGCGTCTCTTTCACTAAAGCCCTGTGCACACCGAGGAGCGACGCGCGCCTCCGCTAATCTCTCGGCGATCTAGCGTCGCTTCGGGGCGAACTGCTACCTGTGAGGCATCTCGGGGCTTTCTCCAGGCCTCCCGTAGAATGCGGGCGAAGCGAAAGCCCTGGAAGGGCTCTTCCACAGGCGGCTGTAGAGACGCTCTCTGCGGCTTTAGGATCCGCGCCGGAGCGGCGAAGTTTGGCCGATCTTTCGGCCCTGCGAAAATCGCGATCTTATGTCGCAGAGGTTCCTCGAGTCGCCGAGGATATACATAGTGTGTACGGGGCTTTAAGGTAGCAAGCTCGTTCACGTACAGCTCGGGGAACACGTAGAAACACCGCGGAACGGCGCTCGTCGCGCGGCGTCGTGGGACATTGTTGCGTCAGCGTCAGCAAACTTTTCGTTTTTCCGTGCGCGGCTACTTCTTCGCCGGACGATAGCGCGTTATCGCTCGATCTCCTCGTTGCCGGTAAACAGGTTCTCCGTGCAGCGACGTTTGCTCTGCCATTGTTTATACAATCATCCATCATGCCGCGACTCGTTCGGTCTATTACACGCCCCCTTATCCGGCTCCCGGACCGATCCGCCGCCGCCGAGCCGCGTCGCGATAACGCTTATCAGCTCCGAATACTTCCGACTCGCGAATTGTTCCATCTTCGGCGATGACTGCGGATTCCGTGGAAGCCTTCTCGTCCCGCCCGTTCGGACGCGCTACACCGTGCCTTTTTGTTTTCAGAACGGCCGAGTTACTCATCCGTTCTATTCTGGACGCCTGGCTCAGCGATTCCGGAGGGCAGAAGGTGGTTTCTTAGGGGCATCAAACAGGGTGAGTCTGGTAACTGGGTCGAGCTCGCGGGACTCCCGTCACGGACGAATTTCGAAAAAAAATGTTGCCGAACGAAATTTCACGCTGTTCGACAAGCTCTGCGAACGAAGTAAGATATCTCATATGATATACATCTTTTCTCTGTTGGTATCGTAGCCTAATAAATTTTCAATGTTTTAGGGAATCGTGCCACTTCCAGAAGAATGTGCAGTTCTATTTCAAGAAAGGTGCAGTTGCACTTTGAGCAAGTGTTGAGAAAAGGAACCTGCGAAGAAAATAGCGCTGAAGGATAATGGAGCTTGTTGACACTGAAACCACCGAAACAAGTCGGAACGACTGGAATTCTGGACTTCTGAATTTCCGGATCTTACAGTTCCGGATGCTACAAAACTGCGAAATTATAGAGATTCCTGGACAATCTTCTTCGCCGAAGCTTGCGTTGCGGTACAAATTGTACGGGAGGCTCGAGTAAATGCGACTTCGTCATTGCTACAGAACAATGTACATTATTGCTAATTAGGGTCAGATGGTTCCAGCGCGTTGAACAGCGTAAAACTCTCTGCGTTCTTTTACTTTAAATTCTTTTGGAACACAGCTGTAGCTCAGCTCCGGTTACTAGATCCGACCCGAATCGAGGAAATCTAACAGAGAAAAATCCTAGAGTCGCAAAAGTTCTAGACGCAAAATCCGCGAGCTCGCGCGTGTAATCGCGGGGTCGCGCGGTCGTTTGTTTACCCGTGGCCGGACGTAACGTCGCGTACGCGAAGGAGCACGACAGGTCTCGGGACGACAGATAGAGCGAGTCCGGCCGGGTTGGGGAGACGGAGGGAGGGTAGAGAAGGTGGAAGGGAGAGTACTATAGACTCGGTGAAAAAAGCAAAAAAGGGAAAAGGAACCGTCCAAGGCCCGTCGAATGGTTGAATCGGCTGTAACCCGCCGCGTATAGGTATAGGTGGTTCGTCGGGACCGCTCTCGCGAGCTTTGGAAGCCGGAGTGCGCGCGCAGCTCGAGCGTACAGTAGTCGTGGTCGTCGGAGAGCAGGCGCCCTCGCCGCATCTCTCCCCGCCTGGTCTTGGCCCGCAGCAAGGCGCACCGTGTGTCGAGCCGAGCCGAGCCGAGCCGAGTCGGTCAATACTCCGGGCAACGCGGCGGTGAGAGCACACCACGGTCGCCCGCACGAGTGCACGCCTCGCTCGCTCGCTCGCTCGCCCGTTTACTCGCGCGACAGATTCTCTCTCCCGTACCGTCGCGTCTGCGAGCGCCGATCATCCTCGTCCCGGTGATCTCCGGATTCGGAGCGCGAACAGACAGAGAGCGAGAGAGAGAGAGAGAGAGAGAGAGAGAGAGAGAGAGAGAGAAAGAGAAAAAAGAAAGAGACCGCTCCGACCAGAAATCGGCGCGGGCCAGAGCTCTCGGGCCGAGCGGGTGATACGTACGCGCGCGGACCAGCGCATCGGCGGACACGCGTAGAGGCGCACGCGGCGCGATTCAAT